GAATATCTAAGTATCAAGTTAGCGTTATTACTATCATTATTTTTAATACTACTATTATTACTTTGACGACTTTATAACCAAAATTTACATGTTTTTAACCGTTCTAAATTAAAAAATGTCATTGTCGCAATATAATCATGAGGGAATTTTCGGAGGTCTAGTGAGATGCCGTGACCAGTGAAGCTAAGTCATGTCGGGTAGATACAGGTATCTATCTCAGTACATTGGAAGATGGTCCCACAATTTCGTGGATTGGTTGAAGTTAGACATTAACACCATTGAATGCAGGATCAGTGTTCTAGAGGTTAAGTGTTCACATGCAAGATCGAAGGTCCTGGGTTTGAACTGTTTTGGAGCGGGATCGTGGATGCGCACTGCTAAGAAGTCCTGTAATAAAACTAAACAACCATTCAGTGCTTCCAGGTTTTCAATGGTGATCTAACATCAATAGGTTCATGATCTCAATCAAAAATGTAATAATCTCCACAATCCCCTATAGTGATAATCATTATTAGTTTCGGCTTTTGTTTTAAAAAAGTAACAACACATTTTTAAATTGAACATAGTTAAACATGATTGTACGTGAATACACTGAGCGTAAATATTCATGAATAATAAATCATTGAAATAAAAGCACAACACAATACACTGAACGTATTCGTGATAACAGAACAAAGTGAAAACGATATCCAAATAGACTTCAATAAAATGATTTTAGCTTTCTTTTTAGTAGATTTTTATTTAGATTTTCATAGTGTTCGGTATAGATTTTTGAATTTGTGTTTTTTTCCAACACTATGTACTACCAAAAGGTAGATTGTCATTACTTCCAGTCAATATTCATTTGTTATTTGAATTAGTCATTATTGCGTTTTGTTCAATATCCAATTGTTTACTTCAAGGTGGTTATGATTTTAATGATTAAAATAAACTTAAACAGATAAGAACTTTCCAGTCATTTTTCAATATTCATATTCTTGAAAAATCAATCAATTAGATGATAGACAATGATAGATAACAAATTTAGAAAGTTATCACTGAGACAAACATCAACATTGTCTCTTAATCATTATATATTTATTTTATGGGATCTATTACACGAATTTATTATCAATGTTTTCAGATAGACTTACTATAGTTACTAGAATGAGAATGGTATTACTAAAACGAAAGTAAATGAATTTCAATTTCTGGTCATATATGATTAGTATTGAAATTTAATGCATTCGATTAATGATAAATATACACTTGAGATTGTCAATCAATATCGGTTATTTATTGTCAATCATTTGGTTCTAGAAACTGTTGATGGTTATAAAGAGATTAATATATTTGTAATATTTCAATAAGTAGCAAAATTAGATTTTTTGACGTTTCACGTTTTAGTGTAAGCCAATTCTTCAAAGAATAAATAACCAAATCAAAATTAATCCAAGTATAAATAGTACAAAGATCAACGCAAGAATACTATGAGATAAATCTAGTCAACTCATACATAATATTCTTGCGTTGTTTCTTTGTACTATTTAAACGTGATTTGGTTATTTTTATTCTCTGAAGAAGTAGCTTACACTGAGTCACGAAACGTCAGAAAATTTAATTTTTCTACTCATTGGAATATTACAAATATCTTGATGAATTTATTTATAACAATCTACCCAATACTCAAGTTATTCGAAATTATCAAATCAAACTTCTGGTAATGATTAGTTGAATAATATTACTTATTCTGGTATTATTTGTGAGTTAGATTAAATTGAAAATGGATTAGTTTGTTTTGCATCAGTTTATATCGTTTATAAAGATAAATTAAGTTGACTTCAAACAATCTGAAAAAAAAAGTATTTAATCATACAGTGTTATAATGAACTCGAATAGTTTGATGTATCAATGGGAGTTTCGATTTAACTTACAGCTGTTTAATCATATGATATGCTCAGAAACTAGACAACAGTTGCTTTCATCTCATATTTTCTTCCATTATATTATTGCATCATTTTTCAGATCGATAATGTTAGTATAGGAAAAAAAAGTATTGTGATGTAATTGACTAACTTACATTTTTATAGCCTGAATTTTATGAAATGAATTACCCCCAAAAAAAAACAAATGAAAAGCTTAACTTATTGTTTGTTCATCATTTTTGGTTCTGGATGTTTTCTTTTTGTTTAGTAATATAAATAAAACTCAATAAAAGAATCCGTTTCCATCAAAAAAACAAAACAAAGTAAACAATAGACTAAGCTCATGTAATACTGATATTCAAATAACCCTATGAAAGTTTGACAGTATAAAAATTATATGAAAACATGTGAACATTTGTTTTCAATATAAGTTCGTTATGCAATAGAAATATTGAATTAAATCACAATTTGAAAGTTCTTTGTTGAACCATAGATCAGTTTCTATTGTGAAGTTGCCAAATAAAACAAACAAAATAATTGTAAATTGATTTATGATAGTCAATTGTGTTAATATTTTACAGAAACTATTCTCAAACTATATCAATCATTGAATGAACTATCAACATAAATGGGTATTATTACCAAGGTTTGATTTGATAATTTCAAATTTCGAGACCGAAGGCCTTGGGTTCGAATCCCGCTCGCGGAGTCGTGGATGCGCACTGCTGAGGAGTCCCACAATAGGACGAAACGGCCGTCCAGTGCTTCCAGGTTTTCAATTGTGATGGTCTAACATCAATCGGTACATGATCTCAATCAAAAACTTAATGATCTCCACAACCCCTATACCAGTAATTTCAAATAAATTGGGCATTGGGTAGATTGTTATAAATAAATCCATTAATATGTGTAATATCTCAATGAGTGGAAAATTTAAATTTTCTGACATTTCGTGACTTACTGTAAGCCAAATCATAATTAATCCAAGTTTAAATAGTACAAACGGAACAACAAGAATATTGCGTCACATAATATCTAAAACTGAACGGAAACATTTATTCACATTACTCATTTTTTGTTAGATAACTGTTTTACTTCTTCAGTATTAATTACTCGCGACCTACTATAGTGTCTAACTAACCTCTTTATGTTTCGAGTTGAGCACCATGTAATTTAATCATTTATGTCACATAATATTCTTGTTGTTTCGTTTGTACTATTTAAACTTGAATTAATTTCGATTTGGTTATTCATTCTTCCCTGAAGAAATGGTTCACACTAAGTCACGAAATGTCAGAAAATTTAATTTTTCTACTCATTGGAATATTACAAATGTATTATTTATTTACATTTACATAAATAATTAATTTGAGTATAGAAATATGTTTAAGTAAGCGTTTCTTGATTCTTTTAAAGTGAATTGTTAAATCACTATTTAACGAAAAAAGAAATTGTTTAAAATCTAGTTTAGTAGTGTACATCAAAATACTTTAAGGTCAAACAACTAATGGCTTATGTTCATCCTTCTTTTGTAGTAGTAGTAGTAGCAGTATCAGTAGTATTAGTAGTAAAACATTACTTATTTAGATATTTGAAATAACTTTTAACCTCTATTACTGTTAGATAACTTTATTATTATTAATGGCTTTATTTAATGTTATATTTTGGTACAATATAGAATTCTCAGCACAGGGTATTTCAACAAGTTTCTTACATAAAAAAGAAATAAAGACAAAAAAGGGAAAAAAGGTTTAAAAAAACCTGAAAAACTGTACAACTTTCAAATTAGAGACATGTTAAGAATGCAGGTTATTGACTAGGTTAACTCTAACAACCTGTTCGTCACAGAGTATATTTGCTAGGTAAGGTATTATAGAACTTTTATACTTTTGCTTGCGTGCATGGATTTTAATGTAATTACATCTCGTTCCACCAGAAGATATACAAAGAGGAAGATAGGAGTAAGGGGGATGGTTAGTATCTGATAAAAATAACATGCCAGGAGTTTGCATGACTTTAGGTGTCTATCCACAACCATATTAATTATGACCTCGAAAGATTCACCACACATCTTGCTAACTGCCTTCAGCACTCTCCGCAATACAGCAAAGTCTTACCTCAAAAGCCCGGGAAAGAATAATGGAGAACGGTAAAGAATAATAGGTAGTATGTAGGAATTGACAAATTGTAAGAGTGAATGACAAATAATCCCAAGACTATGCAATCTCTTTATGTAGTAGGTCAGACGGGAAACCTTCTTCGATAACAATAAAACGTGAGAAGACCAAGGGAGATCAGAGGAAAAGGTAACACCATGATAATTGACCTTCGATACTGTGTTTATCAAAGAGTCTCCAATGGCACAAGCATTATGGGGTTTCAAATGGTGTTTAGATGCCGTTCACGTATCATGCTAAAGTTAACAGCTTGACATTTAGATGGATTAAGTATAAGACCATTACCAACAAACCAACAATCAATACGAGACAAAAACTCATTCATTTCTATGGGATGTAAAGAGGAAGAGATAGACATACATACAGTGGGATCATCCGCATATTTCACAAGTGTTTTCTGTGGAAGATGGCAGATCATGCAGAAAAAAAGAGGTGAGAAAACAGCTCCTTGTGGTATACCTTCATGAGACAGTAGAGACTCCGAACACCTTCCTCCATATACAGTGTACTATTTCCTTCCAGAGAGGTAGGAACATAGCCATTTGGTTATCCAGATGTCAGTGATGACGCTGATTAAGTTGTTAATTAAACGTTGTCTTGGTACAGAATCAAAAGCTGAAGTATAGTCCAGAAAAGCGCATCGAACATACTTCTTACCCTTTTCTAAGTTGAACACTATATTGTGATGCAGAACAGCAACAGTATCTAAGGTGCTTCTTTTGCATCTGTAGGCAAACTGATGCGGATCAATATGCTGTTTTGTGCAAAAAACAGATTAATCGTTGTAATACCTAATTTGTGGTTTCAATCTGTGTAATAATTTGTAGTATATTGTTTGTGATAGTTTATTTATATAGTTTTACCAATAGAGTGAATTTATTTATTAACTTATAGTTTTCATTTTCTTATTATTTAATAGAGTCTTATAGATAATGCAAAGAATCTGCTAAACACAATGGAAAACTGAAATGCTTGAAAAATAAACATTTTACTTCTGTTTAATACAACAAATAATAATTATGCAAATAAATCTATTTGTTTAGTATTTAAAACATACTTTTTGATATTGTCATATTTTTTGATGATTAAGTTTATTTCACCGTTGTGGATGCGCACTGCTTTGGAGTCCCACAGTAGGATGAAATGGCCATCCAATGCTTCCATCTTTTCCATGATGGTCTAGCCTCAATTGACTCATGAATTCAATTGTTACATTACTATAATCTCCACAGAACTCTTCTCTGATTATATTCACTTATATTACAAATGAGCGCGATCCCTGAAGTTTATTACAATCCAATTAAGACTGATCACAACAATCGTGTATATTGGAGAACAAATGAAAGAAACTAAATACCCATCATAATTTTTAGTCTGAAGATTTATTTTTTCTCAATAATTTTCTATCAAAAAGAAACCTTTAAAGTTAAACAGCTCTCTCATTTACTTATAGTACAATTATCATGAAAGTATGTTTTATGATAAATCAATAATTTTTAAGAAAAATTTCATTATCCTAATTGAGTAATTAAAACAAATAGATTTCACATTTTTTAAAGTCATGAAAAAGAAGATTTATACAATAAACATAGTAATTCAATATTAAAACACAGAACAATATTGTGCTTTATAGTAGGTGCTAACTATGATATAATCATTGTTAGTTAAATGATTCTATTATCTTATATTCACGTTTTCTTAATTTCTTAGGAATATTTAACATTTTAATGTATGGAAATAAAAGTTCCAATTTTCATTTATCAAATATTCAAAATTCATGGTTGAGGTTAGACATTAACACCATTGGATGCCGGCTCAGTGGTCCAGTAGGTTGAGCATTCGCGCGTGAGGCTTAAGACCCTGAGTTCAAATCCCGCGAGCGAGATTGTAGATGCGCACCGCTGACGAGTCCCACAATAGGACGAAACGGCTGTTCAGTGCTTCCAAGTTTCCAATGGTGATCTAACATCAATCGGTCCATGATCTCAATCAAGAAAAAACCTTAAACGAAATTAAATTCTTCAAAAATTTCTTTAATTTCTTTAAAATAAACTCATTGCTTTGAATATTACACTACAATACGTTCTTATACTATTGGTTACATTGGATTTACTTCATATTGTTTCGATGAGATATTACACAATACATTCTTCCTTTTGTAATGTTACATATCAACTTGGCGCCCAAATATTATGATGGAACTATTTAAAACAAATTTAAATGAAAGTTCTTATATAATATTATCTCTCATTTAACATAGAAAATAGTATTTCTTTATCTTAGAAAGACAAAATCAGTCAAAAAAAGATTCTTGTAATTTACGTTTTTTGTTAGAAGTATAAAAGAAAAGAAAAAAACCCTCCAGTGTATTTGAACAAAAAATATTGATCATTTTAAGCATTTGTAAAAGATGGATCTTATTTACGTTTACGATCGGATTTATGTCTTCTATTGAAATATTTATTTTAAGCATTATAGACATCATCAGTTATTTTATAATTATAAACTGATAGTTGTAACTAAGTGTCATTTTCAAAATGGAATTCAGTTATGTACTGGGAAAAACTAACACATATCACCAATTGTTAATATATACGACATAAGAAATCAATAATTTTCCTATCTGCAATTTCATATGATTAGATAGAACTAGACTATATATATATAATACAACAGTATTATATGTATTGTTATGCATGTTACATTGTTAAAAAGGGAAAAATAAACTATGTAGGGAAAAATTTAAATGTATATTCATATAAAACTTACGAATCAATGTGAAACCTCTAAACTGATGATTGTCTTTCATTATCTAAATAAAGATTTTCTACATCATAGATGTTATTAAATTGAATGATATCAATAAGGGTTTTTATATGCACTTGAACTTAAGAATGGTTTTATAATCTGATAGAAGAAATCTCATCACTGAATTAAAATCTTATATTTGTATATATATATATATATATTCAACAGGTTTCTATCAGTGAATTCGTAATACATGCTTTATATAGTTCGAAAAATTAGTTCTGTTAAGTTCAGAGACTAAATATCGGAGAAATGTGAGTAGTTTTTCGTCAACTTGAAAATGAATGATTAGAGCATAACTAAATCAATGGAACTATTCAGTATATTCATTATTATTTGATTTCTTGTTTCGTTTAAACTTTATGGTGGTATAAGTGATTGACATTATTCCAAGGTAATCAGTAACGATCGGTTTACTTGCTCGGCAAACATCTTTTATAAATTGTTTTGATGGTAACTTCTGAAAGAAATATATTTTATAAAAAAATACAAATTTTAGACAGAACTTCAAGGGTGAAACTTGACAGTTAGCAATTATGTTCACGAATATTTATTTATATACATTCAAACATCATTGTTTACGAAATGCTCATCTAAATGTAATCGAATATATTTACTTAGCAGTTCCATATAGTTTTACTGGAACAATGAAGTCGAATTAACAACTTGAGCAAGTTTCAGAATAAACTGATTGAAGCATTTTACCGATAATCTCTATAATTTCAAAACTGTTAGTTTTATAAAGAAATATATATATATATATATATATATATATATATATATATATATAATAGTCGTTCAAGATGGAGACGCAGTAGTGCATATTACAGCAAATCATTCTGTTAAGCTCAGTATACACATTCCCGAAACATCATTCCATTGAGACCACTTACTACATTATTATTAGTCTGATAACTTAAATATTATCTCTAAACCGTACAATTTACTGACTAGTTTATTCATAATATTTCTAACATATTCGTAGGTGTCATTGCCATGGTCTGACTTGGTAATTTCAAATAAATTGAGTATTGCGTAGATTGCAATGTCTCAATGAGTAGAAGAATAAAAGTTTTGAATTTTCAAACTTGTCGTGATTCAGTGTAAGCCATTTCTTTGGAGAATATGACAGCAAATTACAAATATGTACAAATATTTATTATTTATTTCTAACATATTGTTTTGTATGGCTTTATCCTAACTTCAAACTAGTATGAACATGATTTAGTCAGTAATGTTCTAAAGACATCACAGATAAACATTAATCTTGCGCGCGTATCTATTTGAATAGTTGATAAAACTATAATAAGATACAGTGGTTCACAATGGTTAGTTACATGCGTTTGCAGTAGTCACAAGAGAATGTCTGTAAAATCTTTCTAAAATGAACCTAGCAAGTATCCAATACTTCTTGGTCTTTATTCATCTTAAATATCATATCTTTTATGATGCTATGTACCTTCGTATTGTACACGAGTATAATTTAAGAACATTTTGAACGAAAATCATTATAATTCCTATGACGTCAAATCGTGTCCGACTAAATTAAATTACAGTATTAAATAACTTTGTACTTTGTAAGCAATTGTTAGACACGAAATATTTTAGGTGGAATGATCACTTGCTTTGGCTTTGATGGCATCCATACTCAAATTAGTAATTTCAAAACCATTTTCAATAGCAAGTTATTAGTGTTTACTATACAAACATTGTATTTAATGAAAGTGAGAGTTGTTAGAATTCACAAAATTAATATATTGAAGATTTATTTTATTTTAAATAGTTTAAACATAAATTCAGACTACATTCTTCCAGTCTGAACGAAAAACGTTTTTTTAAGTAACTGTCAATCGAGAAGATTTCATTCATATCCGATATTACTTAACGTATACAATAGAATATAGATATACTTTACTAGTGAGTAACAAATAACATAAGACCCAGATGAAAAAATTTTATTACTCACTTTCAATGGTTCAACTCCGAAAATACTTTCATCCAATATGGAATTAACATTTTTGATAATGGTACATCAGCTTGTTCATCAAAAAAGTGCTATAAACTCTGAAGAATAGATAGTATGACATTTATTATGACAAATCATTGATAAATTAATACTATTCCCTTTCAAATTAATATTTAAGTATATATTTATGTAATAAACATTTAGAAGACGTCACTATTTTTCCCCTGAGAGTATTCTGTGATAAAAGTCAATATTTAAATTTAATAAAAATTTATATTTTGTTTGTTTTTTTAAATAATGATTAACGCATAAAAATTCTCACTGGATGAGTCGTTTTTAGTTTCCAACTTGGCAACGATTGTATTCAAATTTGTAAAGCCCATATTTGGTAATTACATGAACAATTAGAATTATCTTGTAAATGGAAATCTATTTATGTAAATGTATAGACGTAATGAATATGTATGGTAATAATCATTTTTCTTGTGTAGGTTATTTACTGTTAGCTTAAGGAGAGAATATATCTCTTTGATAATGACTATTTCGGCTTGTTTTTGAATTTAAGAAAAAAAAAACAACTTAATAATCAATGTAACAGGTGTAAATGATAAGAGATGAGGGTTGGTTGAAAACTTATTGTTAGTGATTTAGTCACCATTCATTGTGCAGAAGCACATTTAACAAAGATTTCTTAATCAGTACCATATAAGAACGTTTACTAATTTAATGTAATGACCAGAAAACGAATATTTATTATTTTAATAGTTGAGATCATGAGTCAATTGAAGCTAGATCACCATGGAAAACATGGAAGCACTGGTAGGCCATTTCATTCTACTGTAGGACTCGTCAGCAGTGCGCATCTAAGATCATACCTCTTGAGATTTGAACCCGGGACCTATTGGTCTCGTGTCCAAACGCTTATCCATTAGACCGCTGAGCAGGCATTCAACGGTGTTAATTTCTAACTTCAACTAATCCACTTTCTATTTTGTTTATATCGAAAGTTTGATTTGTCCTCATTTATTGAGGATTTTGTAAGAGAATGAACAATAATAATCTACATAATAAATTCTGTATTGATATCTCAAAATCAGGCTAGAATCAATTAACAGGAATGAGGAAATGATTCGTTTTGACTTCGAGTCCATGCATTGAA